CACTTGGAAACTGACCAAACTTTGTCTTGAAGGTGTTATTTGTGTTGAAGTCATAGTGTAGGACTTTTTAGCTTAAAAGCCTTCACTTAGTTTGCATTATAAATTAATTCACAAGCAGGTTTGGGTTTTTTTTTTCCTCTGACAGCATTTTGCTGCATTTTCTTTAGCTTAAACGTAGTATTCATCTCAAGACTTTTACAACTGCCGCCCAAAAATACAGTGAGATGGTAAATACAAAACAAAGAAAAGAGTTAAGGAGAATGAGTGATAAACAGGAGGAGCTGAAAGCCATCGTGCAGCAGGAAAGCTATGACGTAGTCACCATCATGGAAATGTGGGATGACTCACATGACTTGAGTGCTGCAGTAGATGGCTCCAAGGTGACAAAGGAGAGGAAATGGGGTGGCTCGGTACCTTAGGGGGTATTTTGACTGTATTGAGCTCAAGGATAGCGATGATAAGGTTGAATGCCTATGGGTAAGAATCAGGGGGAAGGCTAACAATGCACACATTCTGGTGGGAGTCCATTATAGACCACCCAACCAGAATGAAGGGGTGGATGAATTATTCTGTAAGTGGCTGGCTGATGTTTCATGATCATCAGCTCTTGTTCTTGTAGGAGACTTTAACCTGCCGCATGTCTGCTGGCAACTCAACACAGCAGAGGCTGTCTAGGAGGTTACTGGAGTGTGTGGAAGATAACACAGCTGGTGAGTGAGCCTGCCAGGGGTGGTGCCCCACTAGACCTTCTGTTTACAAACAGAGAAGGGCTGGTGGGAGATGTGGTGCTTGCATCCATCTTGGACAGAGGGACTGTGAAATGACAGAGTTTTCAATACTCAGTAAAGTAAAGAAGGAGGTCAACAAAACCTTAACCTTGGGTTTCTGGAGGGCAGACTTTGGCCTGTTCAGGATGCCGGTTCGGAAAGCCCCTTGGGAAGCAGCCCTTAAGAACCAAGGGGAACAAGAAGGCTGGACATTTTTAAGAATGAAATCTTGAAGGTGCAGGAGCGAGATGTCCCTATGTGCTGAAAGACGAGCTGGCAGAGAAGAAGACTGGCCTGGCTGAGCAGGAAGCTTTCACAAGAGCACAGGGTAAAAAAAAAGAGAGTGTAGGATCTTTGGAATAAGAGGCAGGCAACTCATGAAGTGGTTAAGGATGTTGTTAGGCCCCGCAGAAAGAAAATTAGACAGGCAAAAGCTTAATCTGGCCACTTCTGTAAATGCTAATAAAAAGTGTTTTTATAAACACATCAATAGCAAAAGGAGGGGCAAGGAAAACCTCCCTTCTTTATTGGATGTGGGAGGGAATATAGTCACCAAAGATGAGAAAAAGGCTGAGGTACTTAATGCATTCTTTGCCTCAGTCTTCCACAGACAGACCCATTATCCTCAGGGCAATCAGCCCCCTGAGCTGGTTGTCATGGGTTTACCAACCAGGCTCCCCCTGGGGCTAAAAATAGTTTTTTCCAAGTAGATTTCTGGAGCAAAGCCAATCAAAAGTTTTAGTAGTGCCCCTGCCAATTACATATTTAAGAAAATCGAAGAGCAGGTGGTTGTGCAGATGAAATTAGGAGCCGTGTAGGGAGTGATGTCAGGCCCCATGTGGGGGCCAGGCCTCCCTTTTCCCCCTGGCCCTGGGCCAGGGGCAGGTGTGGCACTGAAACCCCCCTGACCGAGACATGCAACAGAGTGGAGGAAAAAAACTCTAAAGAAAGACTGCCTGGACGAGAAATACTGCAGGAGGAATTCCAGGCAGAGATAATGGAGCCTCCAAGGTCAAAACTGGCAGCTGCAGGAGAGAGAAGCCCGAAAGGGGGGCTCCTTTTCTCCCCCATTCTCTCTCACTACCTTCAGCAGGGAGAGACTGAAAGCTAAAAAAATCCCTGCCACCTGTGGAAGACTGTTGGGGAGTGGAAACCCCACTCTGCAGCTCATGAAGGAGCCCATGCCAAAGCAGAGTACATGAAGTAGATGTGACTCCATGGAAGACCAAAAATGAAACAGAGTCCTGCTGGAGACCTGGCTCATGGAGAGAGAGAGAACGCTGGAACAAGTTGGCTCGGGTAGGATCTGGTGATATCAGTGAGGGATCCATGCTGGTGCAGCTGAATTTGTGACCCTGAGGGACAGCAGAGAATGGAAGAACTGTCGTCCGAAGGTAGACTCACGCTAGAGAGGTCCATCAAAGACTGTCTCTTGTGAGAAGGGACCCCACAAGAAACAGGGGTGGACTCAAGAGCCATTATCCCTTGTGACCCTGTGGTGAAAACCCATGGTAGGCAAGTGTTCCCTTGCAGTCCATGGAGGACCCCACAGGGCCCGGGTAACCCCCAGCCTCTGGTCTTAGCCCAGGAGGGGGTAGGCCCAGCCCTGAGGTCAACACAGAAGCGAGAGAGAGAGAGAAAGACAGTTCCAGCTGGGATGAATCAGAGCTGTCGTCTTAGAGATAACAGAAGAAGAACTTTTGAGTGCTGCAAAATTATTTAAAAGACCCCTAGCTCTGGAAATGGAAGAGACTGCTTCTCCTCCTGAACTAATACAAGGGGGGAGGGGTATTTTTGTAAGTACATAGCATTTTTGCCTAATTAGTATTATAGTATATATAGTTCTTTAGTTTTTATCGTGCAAGTAATAAATCCTAATACTATTCTCCCCAATCAGATCTCTTTTGTCTGCATAAACCTTCTCTCAATGTACAACAATTGTGTGTGGGGTGAGAAGAAACTGGCCCAGAGTAAACCCACCACACTGGTAGACAGGGACAGGGAGCAGAACAGACCCCCTGCAACCCAGGAGGAAGTGATTAGTGACCTGCTGAGCCACTTAGATGCTCACAAGTCTGTGGGACCAGATGGGATCCAAGGGTACTGAGATACTGAGGGAGCTGGTGGAAGAGCTCACCAAGTCAAACTCCATCATCTGTCTTCAGTCCTGGCTGACCAGGGAGGTCACAGATTACTGGAGGTTGGCCTGTGTGAGACCCATCCACAAGAAGGGCCAGAAGAAGGATCTGGGGAACTGCAGGCCTGTCAGCCTGCCCTTGGTGCTCAGCAAGGTTTTGGAGCAGATCATCTTGAATGCAATCACATGGCACATACAGGACAACCAAGGGATCAGACCCAGCCAGCACGGGTTTAGGAAGGTCCTGTCTGACCAACCTGATCTCCTCTTATTATCAGGTGACCCACCTGGTGGATGAGGGGAAGGCTGTGGATGTGTCTATCTGGACTTCAGCAAAGCCTTTGACATGGTCTCCCATACCATTCTCCTGGAAAAGCTCTGCAGAGCAATCTGGACAGGCTGGATCAATGGGCCAAGACCAATGGCATGAGGTTCAACAAAACCAAGTGCTGAGTCCTACACTTTAGCCACAACAATCCCATGCAGCACTGCAGGCTGGAACGTTCCTGGCTAGAAAGTGGCCCAGTGGAAAAGGACCTGGGGTCAACAGCAGCTGAACATAAGCCAGCAGTGTGCCCAGGTGGCCAAGAAGGCCAATGGCATCCTGGCCTGGATCAGGAACTGTGTATCCAGCAGGACCAGGGAAGTGATCCTTCCCCTGTACTCACTGGTGTGAGCACTGGTGAGGCCACACCTTGAGTATTGTGTCCAGTTCTGGGCCCCTCAGTTCAGGAAGGATGTTGAGGTGCTGAAACAGGTCCAGAGAAGGTCAACAAAGCAGGTGAAAGGTCTGGAGCACAAGTCCCATTAGAAACAGCTGAGGGAGCTGGACTTGTTTAGTCGGGAGAAAAGGAGAATCAGGAGAGACCTTATTGCTCTCTACTACTTTATGTAGGGGTTGTCCTCTCCTCCCAGACAACTAGTGATAGGAAAAGAGAACAGTCTCAAGCTGTGCCAGGGGAGGTTTTGTTGAACGTTAGGAAGAATTTCTTCACAGAAAGGGTGATCAGATTTTGGAATGGACTTCCCAGAGAGATGGTGAAGTTATCATCCCTGGTGGTGTTTAAGGAAAGACTGGATGTGTCACTTAGTGCCATGATCTAGTTGACAAGACGGTATTTGTTCATAGATTGGATTTGATGATCTCAAAGGTCTTTTCCTACATATTTTATTCTCTATGATTCTATATGAGGCTAGAATTTTGTATTATTATTTTTTTCCCTTTAGTAAGACTCTCTTCCAGGCTGGTCACCCTAATAATCTTTGCCTGTGCCTCTTCTAGTTCAAATCTGTATCTTGCATGTAACTACATACCATTTTCTGTAATTCCCCCACAGGTGTACCCTGTGTTCCTGTTTAACCAACTGAGCATGTAAGCTAGCACATGTGCTGGTTTAGATTGAGGTGGGGTAAAAAAACATGACATAACAGGCAGAAAAACAGAAAACCACACTGTAGTCAGCAAAACCAGAGTTGCTTCCCAGTTTGGACTGCGTTAGGAAGAAAGAGAAAAGTCTGATGCTGAGGACACCATTTCATACATAAGGCTGAAACAATCACTGTTTGGTGGCATCACAAAACATACATAATCCTGCGTCCTTCCCACTGCTCTGTATGCACAGTTCTACCCTCTGTGTTGGTTCTTAGTCTTCGTACTTGGTATCAGTCTGAATCACTTGCAAGGCAGTTCAAGTGACCAAGCTGGTGTAAAGTTGTTTTGTTGCATTGACTTCCAGACTTTTTGCAAGAGCTTACATGAGGTGGGGGGGTGACCCTTCCTGCATCACTAAGCTGTTAGACTGACTTGCCTAGAGAGTTACCAGAAATTGTAGCTTTAGTTTAAACATGATTTTTATGCCAATGCATACAGGTGGTGAAAATAGTAATTTCCTTTAAAGTGAGAAAAAGGAATTTGCTGGTAGTCTGTCTCTCACAGGCATTTCTGTGACAGTGATTAATGGTAATAGAGAGATTTATCTGCATTTATGAATTTTTTCTCAGAAGGCAAATGGTTGAGTTAGGCAGTTTTACTGTAAAACTATCTGCTAAAAATTACTCAGTAATTTGGTTTGGTTTATTTTTGTTTTTGTTTTCAGTGAAGGGAGCAATCTCACCCCTGCTCATCATTACCCTGACTTCAGATTTAAGACGTATGCACCTCTTGCCTTCCGCTATTTCAGAGAACTTTTTGGTATCAAGCCTGATGATTATTTGGTAAGAGCTTGCAGTTTTCCTTTGAGTTACAAATTATTATAAGTATGCTAGCTTCATAGTGATAGAAGAAGGTGCTTAAAGGGTGCCTAAATAAGTAGTAAATTTTGTGTGTGAAGGGGTTTACAACTAGTGAATATTTTCAGCGATTTAGAAAAATTCTTTGTCTTTGAGGCAATTCACATTAAAAACCCACTTTATTAATTGACTAGAGTAACTTCCATATCATTCAGGTAACTTTTTCTAGAGAAGTTACAATCAGTACTTGTGAACTTCTATTAATTCAGTTCTAAGAAAGTACTCTTATGTTATCTGTGCTACTTATTAACTTCATTACAAAAGTGATGTCTGCATGTGTTCTTTTCTAGCATTGAGAAATGTGGATGGCAGACTGAAAATTAAGCATTTATAGTATCTCCTTTTTCTCTCTATTTTATAATTTGAAGACTTCTTAACAGTATTCAGTGGTTTACATGAGAAAAAAGATGATGCCACATTTGCTGCCACTGTAAAAGCAGCAGTATTTTTTTTATTATTTGGTGGAACCACTTTGTACACTGCCTAGAGAGGTATTCACTATTTTACTTCTCCTGTAGTTCTACTTTTGGAAGGGTAGTGTGAAAGCAAAGAGCATGTTTTTTAGATGTTTGCCCCATGTCCAATTTTTCTCATGGTGGACAATGCAACAAATCAGAGTCACAATACAAATTAGCATCTTTACATGTCAGAGTTTTATTGTTCATTTTTTTAACGAGTTTTTAAATCTTTTTGTGCCATTATTGATAACTACTTCTGTAAAACCAAATGACTTTGAAAGGGCTTGAATGAATAAAAAAGAAAAATTGATTAAAGTGTGCTGAAACATTACTTAAAATACTACTAATGTTATGTGCAAGTGCATTATAACATTTTTTGGTTTTTTCTTTTGTAGACAATAAGCCTAAAAACAATACTTAGCTGGTTTTGCTTTTATTTAGGTTGAATATGGATGTCCTATTTTAATTCTTTAGTAGTATGTTTGAATTTGTACTACTAGTCCTCATGACCATAGTTCTGTATAAAAACGAGTAATTCTTTTGGGTTAAAATTGGTAGTAGAAAGGAAATACACTTTGTTTGGAGTTTTATGAATGATAGAATCATAGAATGGCTTGATTTGGTAGGGACTTAAAGACCATCTAATTCCAACCCTCCTGCCATGGGCAGGAATACCTTCCAGTAGACCAGACTGATCAAAGCCTTTCGAGCCTGGTCTTGAACACTTCCAGGGATGGGATATCCACAACTTCTCTAGGCCACATGTTCTTGTGCTTTACCACCCTCACAGTGAAAAATTTCTTCCTTGTGTCTACTCAAAACTACTCTAGGTGGGGTCTTACCACAGCAGAGTAGAGGGGGAGAATCATGTCCCTCAACCTGCTAGTCACACTTCTTTTGATGATGCTGTCGATTTTCTGGGCACACTGCCAAGAGAGCTACTTTCAAACCATTCTTCTCTCAGCATGTGCTTGTGCTTAGGATTTCCGCAACCCAGGTGCAGGACCTTGCTCATGTCCTCGTTGAACTTCATGAGGTTTGCACAGGCCCACTCTCACGGCTGTCACAGTTCCTCTGGATGGCATCCCTTCCTTCCAGTGTGTGAGCTGCACCACTCAGCTTGGTGGTGTTGGCAAACTTACTGGGGGTGCACTTGATCCCATTGTCCATGTGACCAACAAAGATATTAAATAGCACCAGCACCAAAACCAAGCCCTGAGGAATGCCATTTGTCACTGGTCACTGACTGGACAACAAGACATTGACTAGAACTCTTTGAGTGCAACAAGTTCCTTATGCACTGAGTGATCTGTCCATCAAATAAATCTATACCTCTCTAGTTTAGAGAAAAGGATGTCATGTGTGACAATAGTGTAATTATTTAATATGTTGTTTATCTATTTCTTTTTATGGACTTGGAAAAAGATGAAGTATGCGGGCTGTGTTGCCAACTGCTAAAAAGGTGTTACTTCCTAGAGTAAAGCTGTTATCACCTGCAGCTTCTTTTCCATTTACGAGTTTTGAAGTGACAAAGCCCAAAGATTTACAATTTCACCTTGTTCAAGGAAGTTAAGTGGTAATGCACTATAGAAGTCAGACTGGTTAACAAGAGTAAATGCATTTGAAGAGCTGGCAGAATTAAGTTGTCACTGGAAACGTCGTGGAACGTTGGTGTTTTGCATCTAAATGTCTTGATCGTGAAGTACTCAGTTGTCAGAGTCTTGGGGATTTTCTTACTTTTCCATTTCTGTGTGGCTTTTGTAAGTGTCCAGCCAAAATTAGCTGGTCTCTGTATAGCAGCACTTGATGGGTAGATTTCTGTTTTACAGGAATAAGCACAACTGTAGAATGACCAACACAGAGCGTAGGTTAACAGCTCGTGCTTATGTTACACTGATTTATTGAACTTTAATGTTTTAGGATAATTGGTTTTAAACGCTTACCTCAATGACAGTGACTCATGAAGTTTATATTTTTTTGCAAGAAAAATGCAAGGTTTACAATACAACTGCTGATTAACTCTAAGAGCTTGTAGTGTTACAGAGTGGTATGGCTGTTCTATCAGTAGAAAATTGAAATTACAGGATTAACAAGAAAGGTCTTTTTTATTAATTGGAACTGAGTGGACTGCAGAAGTAGGGAGAGGAACAGAAAACATTTTTATATAATACAAAAGTCTCAAAAATTGCAAGCATGGGAAAAGCATCAGCTGTAGCCAGGATAAGGAGATGCAATAGGCAGTGGTTTGAGTCCATAGGAAGTGTGCTTCTCTAGTTCAAGTGCTTACAAAAGAGCATATTGATTAGATTTTCTTGTATTACTTCTTTGCTGTCACCAGCCACTGAAGTCAATGGCAAAACTCCAGGATGGATTTAATAAACACGTTTTTAAAAAGTAAAACTTTTTTTCTTGTGAAATTGCTCAACTCATCTCAAGCAATGTCTTAATAAGCCAGATATTTGTAACTGAAACAGTTATTCCTTTTGCTTTGAGAAGAGCAGAAAATACTACACTACTAAGAATAATTCCTTGGTGCTTACACTACTCACAAATTTGCTTCCTGTGTAATTTTTTTTCTTGTAAAGACTGAATCCTTAAAATATTGGACTGTACAGTAAATCTCCAACTGTGTAAAATGGATGATGTATTAAAAAAAAAAAAAAAGATGTGTGAATGAAAGTTCAATTATCTTAAACAAGTTTTCATGTTTAATATAAATAGATTTTTCTATGGTTTTGAGCTTAATGTCTCCTCTCCATTTAGTCTGAATGAAGTTTGAATTAATGCCTTTTTCCTCCTTAATATGATTGCAATTTTTAATGTGTCTTGTGGAAGAGAAAGCCTTTCTAAATATCCAAAATAATGGTCCTCCAAATCTCAATTTTTCTTGCTTACTGGTATTGAGGTTTTTTCTATTTCAAGCAGTTTTCAATCAGAAAACTACATTAGTAGCTAATACCAAGATTATTAGTCTAATGGTTTCAATCCCAATTTCCAAGAATAGGATTTGCTCATTTGTCTACAGTGAAAAACCTCTACTCCGGGTGTGTTTGTCTAATATCTTCTTGTGCCTGTTTCCTTCATAAATGGCTGTGAAAAGCAAACAGTTGCAGTTCAATGTCTTCTTAAGGTTTCTGACTCAAGAATTTGCTATGGTGCCAGTGTGGGGATCAACTCCCTTCAACTTAACCGTTCGCATCACTCCAAGAGAATCTTTACCTGGTGCAGTGGGATGTGAAGAGGGACTGTATGCTCAGCTGCCACCTGCTCTTCCGCGTTGTGCAGTGTGAGCTGGGCAGAGCAGACTGTTACAATTGGCCTTTGAACCTCAGCCGAATTATGTGAACCAGCTTGCTCTACAGTAGTAGTGTTGCTACAGTTGAAGACCAAAGAATAAGCTTCTTGATTCTCTTGTGCCTGTTTGTACCTGCAGTTCTTTATATTAAACTTGTGTTCGGGTAATGCATGCATTGACAGTAAAAACCAATTTTTATCTCTCTTCCAGTACTCAATCTGCAGTGAGCCTTTAATTGAATTATCCAACCCAGGTGCCAGTGGGTCCTTATTTTTTGTAACCAGTGATGACGAGTTCATCATCAAAACAGTTCAACACAAAGAGGCTGAGTTTCTTCAGAAGCTCTTGCCAGGTTATTATATGGTAAGTAATTGAAGACTGTATTTTACCTATATTTCTTCTGTTTCATGTCACACTTCTTAAGATGCAGTTTCATTTGTCTTGTAATCCTTCATTGGTTTTTATCTCTATTTTTTGTAATATTTTGGTATTTTTACCCGCCCTTCAGCTTTGTGCTCCAAACACCCAACAGAAAGAATAGATGTACTTCAAGAATATATTGAAGATAAGAATTGCTGTTGTTTTAGCATTCAAGATGAAGCTGAATGTCATCATCTGATACCAAACTTTATTTCTAACTAACAAAAAAAGGTTACTAGATTTCTAATTCAGTTTTTTCCTCCATTTTGTTATTTGTCTACCCTCTGCATTTCACTCAGAGCAAACAAACTAGACTTGTCAGTTTCACTTTTGTTCCCAACTACTTCTGATTTCCATTGCTCATATATTAAAGCTGTAAATGGGCTGCAAAAAATATATTTTCATCCATGTAATTTGTTCAAAACTGAATTTTTAAATGGAGCTTTTTGAGGACTTGTGCTAAGTCAATTGTGTTGGGTTTTGTGTGTCAGTCATCAGAAAGGAAAACCACTGATCCAAAAGTAAGTAGAACTTTTTTTTTTTTTTTTTTAACAAAACCAGTCATACATATGAACAGAGATTTTTCTGGAAGGTATGCAGAACTTCATATTATTAGACCTGTGACGGACTTTCTTTTCTTGATTTGTTTTCTGATGTAAATACTTGAAAAATTACCCTCTCACTTATACTAAAAATGAGAAATGTTTATTGTCATATATATATTGTGGTATATATATCATAAATGTCATTATTGCTCTAAAGTGACATGGATTCACCATGTGTGTAAAAAAAAAAAGTGTGTACTGACACATCAAAAAGGACAACGATGGCACGTACTTTTTTGTTGTTTCCAATCATGATAATCAGCTCAGCATAAAATTGACTTATTACAAGTACATGTAAGGCTGTTGTCTGTTGTTTCTGTGCACTTTATTCTCACAGCTAAAATATGCAATGGTTTCCAAAGGGAAAAACTTCAATCGTGATTATTTCCTGTGAAAGTACTTTCTTCTGATAGTTTTATGTTGTAACTTAGTAATCATTCGAGACTTGAAGTAGTTTTCCCCCTTCTTGATTTTTCATGCCAGACTGACAGTAGTTGTAGTCAGATGGAAGATTTTCTCTCTCACCACTGTTATCCTCTCTTGTTTAGTTTTATTGCCTGTTGTGCAGTTTGGATTATTTCACACTCTTCTGTTCTGATGGGCAATTGTGGTTCCGTTATGACCTCACACTCCAGTGGATACTACTTGGTCATTTGGCACTAACCCTCAGTGTGTAAAGCCTCATGGAGACAGGGGTTCTGTCTTTCAAATTCCAAGTCAACATAACGAGAACTACATTGGACACAAACTTCTTCCAGCAGGTAGAATGCAAAGGTTGTTCAGGTCAGAATAAGTAAATAAAGTCTTCAGGATGCTTTTAGGTTTGGGCCAGTCTACGCTTTGATAGTATGTGAGAAAGAGAAGCCTAGTATTAGTCTAGCTACTGCTCTGCTCTTGGTGTATATAAGTTCCTGGGAAAATGGCAGTGTTTATGCTAGCATTCTAAAGTAGAGACCCACAAAGCAGATCAACTGGTCTAAGAAACTATGCTGAATAAAAAGCAGTACACAGTTTTCTTGAAGTTTGTTAATGTCCTTTGCTATGAAAGAAACCCTTTCTTAAGCATGGAAGTTTATTGAAAATAGACCTATTTAACAATATCTCTTTCATTTTAGAATCTGAACCAGAATCCAAGGACTCTTCTACCTAAATTTTATGGGCTGTACTGCGTTCAGTCAGGAGGCATTAATATTAGAATTGTTGTCATGAACAATGTTTTGCCACGAGCCTTGAAAATGCATCTCACATACGACTTGAAAGGCTCCACATACAAACGGAGAGCATCAAGAAAAGAGAGGGAGAAGTCCAACCCCACATTCAAAGACTTGGATTTCTTGCAAGATATACACGAAGGGTTGTATTTTGACTCTGAAACGCACAGTGCACTAATGAAAACACTACAGCGGGACTGTCGAGTGAGTAAAAATTATTGGCTATTTAAACTTCTGTATTTGCAGTTGCTCTGGATTCACCTTGGCAAAACACAGAACATGGCTCTGTATGTTGTTTAGCCTCCATTTGTTTTCCATGCTATTCAATGAGGAAAAACTATGGATGTCAGAGCACTGATGAAGTCTGTATTTTATGTGAACCTTTGGCATCTGAGATCACAGAACTGTAGAATGGAATGTCCCTATGCTTCTTGAATACCAACACGCTAGGGGCCATGAGCACTTCCCTGGGGAACTTGTTCCAGTGTTTGACTGATGAACGTTGAGGGTTTTAAGCTTTCTTTTTCTCTCTTAAAGAGGTTAGTGCACAGGTTCTTCTATTAGTTTCAGGGTTAGAGGGAAAAGGACGCTGCTAGAGTTGCTCCTACCTTCTTGCGAAGTTAGGTTGATGGTGTCCAAAGCCTGACACCGGGACACTAAACTCTAGGCATTCGCCCAACACAGATCCCAACACTTTCTGCAATGAAGCTGCCTCCTCTTTACAGGGGTCAACCATGCCCGACGTTGGATTGCCATGTGACGAACGTTGAGGGTGGATAGGGAGGGGAACTCCACTCTAGAGGCTTTTCTTTTATCCCTAGTCCTGGAGGGGAAGGTGCTCTCCCCCTCCCCCCCCCACGAGGTCTCCATGGCTCTCGCAGTGACCACAGGAGACCAGGGTGAGCAGGCAGAGAGAGCGTTTATTGTTCTGGAAACTGCTTAAGTACCTTTTGGGAGGATTACAATGTAACCAGTGGGAGTCCAGGAGGTCTTACAAACCAAGGGTTAACAACCAATAGATGAGCTTTCAGTTATCTCTTAGACATTCCAAAGGTACGGGTAAGAGGGAGGAACCTTGGGAAGAAGAAAGGTTTACACAAAGAGTTACACCACCATTTTGGGAGCATGTTCACTTTAAACAACATTACAACTTCTATATCCTTTTCTGTACTGCAAAGTTACCCCAACATTTGACAATCCTCCCACTAAAGAACTTTTTCCTAATACCTAATCTGAACTTCCCCAATGCAGCTTCAAGCTGTTCCCTTGCACTCTATCACCACACACCAGAGATCAGCACCACTCTTTCTGCCACCTTCATAAGGAAGTTGTAGACAGTCATGAGTGCCCCCCACCCAGTCTTCTCTAAGATGAGCAAATCTAATATCTTCATCTGCTCCTCACAAGTCATGCTCTGTAGTCCTTTCACCATCTTTGTTGTGCTCTTTTGGAGACATATCCTCCTTACACTGTAGAGCCCAAAATTGCACACAGTACTTGAGGTGAGGCTGTGCCAGTGCTGAGTGGAGTGGGACAATCACCTCTTTCAAACCAGCTGGATATACTGTGCTTAATGCACCCCAGGATAGAGTTGGCCATTTTGGCTACTGGATCACATTGTTGACTCACTGAATTTATCATCTAGCACAACCCCAAGTTCCAGAGCTGTCCCCCTTATCTCTCTGTATGTCCAGGATTACACTGATCCACCTGTAGAAATAGAGATTAACGTAGGAATGGAGTCCAGTAGACATTATGATGATGATGATGATAATGATTTCCACTAATTTGGAGATTTTAATTATTTTTTCCTGAGGCATAATTAGCCCTGTGGTACCATTATTATGTATGATAATCTGTATGTAGAGCTGCAAGCTCAGTAACCCTTCAGTAAATTGGCCTCTTTGTAAGTTAAGAAGAGCTAGGAATAGAAAGGCAGGCCTAATGGCAGCAGTCATATTTCTGGAGCAAAGCAATTTTTTCCTGAGCTGAAACCCAGTGTTTAATGTTTGCATAACATTTTCAAGGCAGAAGAGGGGTACATACCATTGCTCCTTGAGAAGACCTTGGGGAATGGAATCAGTTCCTATTATGACAGAGAGAATTGTTGTAAAATAAATTTTTTCTCTGTAGCAAAGGTAAGAAAATATAAATTAGAAAAAGGGGGAGTTATCCAGGTTTCTCATATTCCCAAAGTTCACAGGGTTGTGGAGAGAAAAAATTGGCATTGTCTGAGGGGAATCTTAAGAGTTTCATAATAAAAAATCAGAATGAGTGGGCTGAACTCAGCACAGAAAAGGCATCCTGAATATCAGTTTGTTGTTCGCTGCCACCTGTGGTACAAGATGGAAAGCATTGTTTTTGCACATGAATAGAATTTTTTGTTTAATTATCACAGAAGTCTGCAATGCCTGGTGATTGGTTTGTAAAGCTGGGTGACCTAATGTTCAGCTGCATATTCAGTGTGAGACATTTATCTAACACCACACATTGTTCTTTCTGTAGCTTTTTGCAGTGAGTATTGCCTGAGCTCCTGTCATGTGTGATAATGCAGAATGCATCAGTATGTCCCATCTGAGGATATGGATGCCCTTTTGTGCATCCCCTGCTTGTTCAAGGTTTCTTACCCAGTCAAAGCGTGAGGAGATCTGTTATATAGAAAATAATAAAGGGAATCTAAAAGAGGGAACTGGAGTGAAAAGTAAACACAAGAATCAATCATTTAATTTTTACATAAAAGGGACTCTTACTGGTTCTTCAAAAGTCTGGGTAAATTCTTCCTATATGTTATTTGAGGGCTGAACTACTATAATTTTTTTCAGTGTGTAATCTTAGATTAACAGCTCTAAAGTTAGTCTAGAGTTCAAGGCCCAGCTAAATTTTAAAATTATTTTTAAAAAAGGCTAATTATCTTATAGTAATTAATCTATACATAAATACATATACATACATTAAAGTATATGTGTGTATCTGTGGATACATATACACACATTGAAATTTGTAAGTATGTAAAAAAATTAACTGGCTTTTTTTTTCTATTCAAATAAGTTTTACTCTGTGTTATAAAACAAAGGGAGCAGACACTGCTGTCTTTCATATAGCTGAATTTGCTCAACAAATGAGGTTGGATCTGACTACCTGTGTTGTACTTCCGCCTTTAGAAAGAGTGGGGAAGGGGACCATCTTGCCACTCTTTCTTTCTGCCCATATGGCATTTGGATGCCTGCTCAGTGTGAGTGATAGCTTTTCAAGGCTTAAAAACTTGTCAAAAATCTCTTTTTACTCTGTGGTGGGTTGGCTGGACATCAGGTGCCTACCAAGCTGCTCTATCCCCTTCCCAGCTGGACAGGGGAGAGAAAATAAGATGGAAAACAACTGGGAGGTTGAGATAAGGCAGTTTGATAAAGCAAAGGTGAAAGTTTGTGTCCACACAAGCAAAGAGAAAAAAGAAAAAAGGTTTATTCTCTTTCCCATCTGCTAGCTATGTTCAGCCAGTTTCTGGGGAGCTGGGCTTCAACACATGTAGCAGTTGCTCTGGAGAGCAAACACTGTAAATAACAAATGCCTTCCCTTCTTCCTTCTTTCCTTAGCTTTTATATCTGAGCCAACGTCATATGGTATGGAATATGTCTTTGGTTAAATTGGGTCAGCTGATCTAACTGTGTCCCCTCCCAGGACCTTGCCTACCCCCAGCCCTTGATGAGGGGAAATGTTGGAGAGACAGCACCGATGCTGTGCCAGTGCTGCTCAAAAGTAGCCAGAACACTGGTGTGTTATCAACACCTTTCTAGCTACCAGTGCAAAGCACAGCACTCTGAGGGCTCCTACATGAAAATTAACTCCATTTCAGCCAGACCCAATACACTCTCCACCCTTTATCCCATATGTTGCATTCTGGATTAACCTATAAACTGCCCAGAGCAGTTATATTCTTTATTTAAGACTTTTAAAAAGCCTTTTAGTTTTTTATAACCTTTAATTAACATCCAGAGAAAAAGTCACACGCTCTTCTCTAAGAGAATTTTTTTTTATTTTAGTGAGAAAAATAAGATATTTTGGCAAAAGGTTTTTACAGGTATAAAATACAACCAAGAAAAAAGCATTTCACTAAAACATTCAGCACAAAGACCCATTCCTTAGGAAACACCCACTAAACCAATCCGTGTAACAGCTTTAGTAAAACACAGTTCATTGGTTTTAAGTTACCCACAAGAGAAGGAAAGGAGTAAAAGAAAGCTGATTAAAAGGGGTAAAGAAAGAAAGAAAAAAGAGAAAAGGAGAGAAAGGAAAGGAAAAAATGGTTACCAACAGGATTCGATGATTCACATGGTGCCGGCTGAAGAGGAAGAAGCGAGAGAGAGAAGAGGAAGACCACATGGAGTCTCGTGTCTTTATAGAGTTCAGTTTTCTCTCCCAGGCAGGATATCTGGTCAGTGCCTTCCAGGCCCGAATGAATGGTGCTGTAGGCAGTCACAGGCTGCAGGGCTGTGGTGTGGGTGGGCTGCCAGGCAGCTCAGCCCTGACTGACAGCCCTGCAGGGCCTGCAGCTCTGCCCTGTGCTCTGCATGGGCTGCAGGTCTTGCCTTCAGCTCTGCCCTGTGCCCTCAGCACAGGCCTAAGTGCAGACCTTACCACGTTCCTGCAGGCCCAGGCCTTCCCCATACACATGCACACACACACTCACAATGAGTTGGTACCAACCCATATCAATAATTCAGTGAGATTCGGATCCATGATCTCACACTGCATCATTTACCTCACACTCAGTCCTCACATATTTTATGTATCTTCTAACTTTTCCATTGTATTTATTTCTCATTATAGAAATCCCTTCTTATCAACATATACAACTTAAACTCTATCCTTAAACCATCTTTATACCCAAAGTACAGATTTGTACATTTTCATTAACAACTATCCCCCATTCTTTTACATATGGATATTATTTTCCCATTTTGTGGGCTTCTTCCACCCCTCCCGATTCATGATTAGAGCTCCATTCCTCAGGATGGGTGTTCGGGAGAGGAGAACCAGCACAATCAATCAGTGAGCACCAACACCAGCCCAGCTTGGGTCATTGTTGCCTGCTCCTTGCTCCTCACAAAATTCACTCTGGATCAGTTTATATCATTCCTGCTACTTTATGTCCTGCAACATACAACTTACTTCACAGATTATTTTTCCCCCAAAGTTAAGTTTACTTG